TGTATAAATATACTTATGAGTTACGCTTCCGCTTATCTTTTGATGACGTATGATGATGTTTTATTATCTTTTGACGTACGTTTTGACGAACGCATCATTTTGACGAACTTTTGAGAAATTAAGTTTTTCAGTAACCGGACGTTTTTATTAAATTAAAACAACGATTTTTCTAAGTTGAGTAAGGATTTTTCACGGTAGCACCCCGAATCAGTTTTCGCAAAGTAAAATGTTTTAGTTTTCAAAGACTTTGCGAATAATTGCGCAACTCTGATTTATACAGTAAGGTGGGGTGTTACACAATAAAGCTTGGACTTTTTCTCAAAACGCACAAAATCAGAAGAACCAAGAATTAAGAACTGCACATATATTATAAAACAAGTCTCCTGTTTTAAAAAAATTAGATAACATAATTCTTTCAAACTAAAAAAACTTCAAGCAGCAAGCGTCCTCCTCACACAAAAAAAGAAAAAAAAAATCTGCTTATCCAAAAAAAAGAGTGAAAATAGTGATAAAGAAATTAGAAAAGAAAACAAAAAACTCCAATTGTAAAAACACAAAGGGGATATGACCTTCAAGTGAGAAAGTAGATCAAGCGGGGTCTGCAGGGTGTTCTATTGTTCTGTCACTTCGATTTATTTATTTATTTTTTTTTTGGCTTAACTTTTTATTTTAAGTTTTCACTTATTTCAGTTTTGGCACAACAAATCTTTTGGTTTTTTTTTTTTTAAAAAAAATTTAATCCATGTGTTATTTCCATTTGTCAGTAAGGTATCCACATAATAATGCTGAAAATTGTAAATTAATCTGACTGGGAGCCACGTAGACGCCACATTACATTTTTATCCAGGGAGGATAAAAAAGGACCAAAATTGATTAAATTGCCAAATTATTGGACCTAGTTTGAAAGTGGTCAATATAGAGGTGGATTTTTGGACTTTGGCCAAATTATAGGACCAATTTGCTTAAATGATTGATGATTTCAAGTTTTATTGACCCCTAAAAAATTGCTCAAACATTAACTTGCACTCAAAATAGGCTTCGTCATAGTCCAAGTCACGGTTCGGGTCCGAACTTTTCCTTTGATGAGAATTTAGAATCTGTTGATAAGATTAAACAATGTGATAAAAAAATATTTTTTTTTATTGGGATAAAACATCAAATTTTTTGTTTGGTTAAAAATTTGAGATTTATTAACAATATTAATTATTTATTGCGATTAACCGAAAATTGAACTGAATCGACCACTGATTTTTTGGTTAAAAACCGAATCGAACCATTAATTTCCGATTCGGTTTTCGGTTATGATATTGGACAAAATCGAATTTTCGGTTAACCGAAAATTCGGTCGGTTCAATTCGGTTTTGACTGAATGAGCACTCCTAGTAACGGGATTACGGGATTGTAGCTTTCCCCTTAATTAAATACTTGTAATAAACTAATAATTTGTACAAAAAAATTAAAAGAAAAATACTTGTAATAGTAAATATTCTCCACAATTTGAACTTGGGAAGTTGAAAAGAGTGTGAGTACATGAACATGCATTTCACCACGTCCTACGTGTCTTGCAATGTATGGTGCTTTACTATAATTAGACTCATTGCTTGGGAGAGTGTACTATACTAACTGACTACTAAAATCACACACACGCATTTTCTTGTTCGTTACACAAAATAAAATAAAAATCCTTGGTGAGCACGCATATGCAAATAAATTTTGTATATATATACATAATACATACAGTTCCTCATGCTGTCCTCTTCAAACAGAAACAAACTGAGAGAGAGAAGATGTTCGTGAAAACTGTGTCCGGCAAGACCATAACGCTCGACGTCGAGTCGACCGACTCCCTCGACAACGTCAAGGCTCAGATTCACGTCAAGGAAGGTCGATTTTTTTGAGATTTTCATGTGTTTTTGTTCCTGTTTATTAGTTTGGCATCTCACTGGTTTTGTGATGTTCCCGATTTCTTCTGTTTCAGGGATTCCACCGGAGGAGCAACGTTTGATTTTCGCCGGAAAACAGCTGGAAGATGACGATGGCCTCACTATTGCAGATCTCAACATTCACAAAGGTATTCTCTCTTTCTTTCTTTCTTCTTTTATCGT